ACCATGACCATGTCACCTGGGAAGCCAACCAGGTATTCACCAACCATGAAGAGTGGCTCATAAGTTTAGACATTGTACTCAGCAGAAGTAAAGTGCCACCACATCATCTGGTAATTCTGGAGGTCTTTCTTAGTTAACTGCTGGTGATCCAGGTCTCCTTGTCATTCCGCCTGAACAACTGATTTTCTGAGCGCGAAGTCAGAACCTGACACTTGTGCTCACTGCGTGTCATCATTCTTTTCAACTGTGTTCCCAGCCTATTATGGCCTTTGGGGCTTAGTGCCAGCCTCATGGAGAGACTTTCCTCACAGACAAGCATCACAGGCAGATTTCCTAATATGACTTCTATGTCTCCATGCAAACCCCCCACTGAGGCTCAGAGCAGAACGGGCAGAGCACCATCCTGCATCCTGTCTCTGCGTCTCTCCAGACAGGTTGATTCCCAGGAATGCACTTCAAGAACAGCTTTCTAGTGAGCTACCGCTCCTGTCATGCAGCATGGGAATGTCTGCACTGCTTGTCTTGTTGACATTACCCAAGTGCAAACCTGGCTCAGCTCAGGAACTATGGTGGGACTATTACACTTGCACAGAAATAGGGGCATGCCTGCCTTCAAAGAGCTCCCACACCCGCTGGGAAGTGAAAATGAGCACTTGTGAGAAAATACAAATTGCTGGTCAATGCCCAGGAATAACACAGAGATCTTCAGGATACACATGAATGGACCAATGAGCAATTATTCATTCAACAAACGTTGATAATAGCAGAGCAACAACAGAAATGGCCCTTGTGAGCCAACCTCATGCCAGGTCTGGTCTGTGCACTCTGTTACTGTTTATGAAGCCTTGCAACTATCTCCATGAGGTCCATGTTATTGCTCTCAGATGAGCAAGGAAACAGGCTCAGAAATGTTAAGAAATATGCCAAAAGTCACATGTTTAATGCATGGTGTTGAGCCCAGTGGGGTCTACCTCTGAAGCCCATTATGCTCTGAGCTGCCACAAGGCCCATTCATGTCCTGCCACTGGGGTTGCCATGGCCCATGAGAAATAGGCCCTGCTCTCAGGGGATGACCTGGGGTCCTTACTCAGGGCAGATGCCAAGCATGCCATCTTGGAGCCTGTGGAAAAGGAGAATGCAGGATCTCCAGTGGGGGTACTCACACTGCAGGGTGGAACGGCAAAGCCAGACCCAGCCATGCCAGGATGTGAGAAGGGCAGAGTGCCACACGTGTTCCTACAGCACATTTAGCCCACAGCAGGCAGCACTGAGCCCCCACACTCGGAGGAGGAGGGCTTTCTTGCCTCTGGGCCTGAGGAACTCTCTGAGATTGAATCACTCTAAGAAATGAAAATGGTAACAACTATTCTGCCCTCTCAAGGACTTGAGGCACAGAAGGAAGGCCATGTCACTGTCATGTGTTTGGGTTTATTCCCCATGGGCAAGAGCAATGCCAGCTCCTCTGTCTGTCCTGGGTAGACTCCAATAAGAGCGCCTGGCCCACAGTTTTCTCACAAACAGGCAGATGTCTGCCATGTGCTATTGTCCCAGTGTGAAGATGGCTGCTGGATGGGGACTGTTCGTGAAACAAACGGGGAGAAAAGAACATGGAGGCAGGTTCAAGATGCAGGGCCAGAGGTGGGGGAAGTAGGAAGAGGGGCTGGAAAGATGTCAAAGAGGTCAAAGGTGGGGAGCAGAAGATGCACAGGAGTGGTAAAGAGTTGATAGAGAAGGAGCCAGGAGCAGGCAGTCAGTGCCTGAGACCAGAGGGCCCAGGTCGCCAATGGGGACACAGTGGCAGGCCCCTGGGCATTACAGGTGGTGTGGATGACAGGATTATTTCTGCAGCACACCAGAAGTACAGATATTTCCAGAGACAGGACCACCTTCTCAGAAAACAGGCTGCTAGTAGCTCAAGGCCAGGCCAGTTCCACCCTGGTTTTATACCATCTGTCCCACTGTGCCTGTTTGGCAAGCCCAAGGTGAAGAAACCGCCCTGGTTAGGAGAGGACTGTATAATCTACAGAGAAAAACTGCTTGTTCACTTCTTACAGATACACCTGGTCAAGCACGAGGGCAGGAACTACCCCAACGGGAAGCTCAGGTTCAAACCCTGCAGAAGACCAGAGCTCCAATCACTCAGACCACAAAGGCCTGCTCAGCCTCCTGGAAGGAAGACAGCCTGAACTCTGCAAGCCCTGGAATCTACTCCCAAGGCTATGATGGGGCCAGAGCCACTCAAGCACTTCAAAGGGAATTGGTGTAGAAACAGTGAAACACTGTCTCAGTAAATACCCATTTGGGGCTTTTTGTCTTCAATGGTTGTTGAGTGAGAAGCAAGGAGTCTGCTCCAGAGCAGTTCAGGGATGCTGTGGCTGTGGCTCCTTAGGTGATGGTGAGGAGCTAGGGTCTGCACAGGCCACAGCCCTGCCCAGGAAGGGGCAGGACCTAGAGGAGCACGGCCCCTGTCCATGGCTGCTTCAGGCATGCTCTGCCATTGCTGCAGGTAGGAGACTAGCACTGGAGCCTCAAGGGCCCTCAGGGTGTTCTATCTGAGGAAATACACAAAAGGGTAAGACAGCCATGTTCAGAGTAGGGCAGGTCTGTCACTGGAGGTATGGGGCATGGAGGGCTTCTGGGCCAGAAGGATGCAGGAGCCTGCCTATGTCCTCGAGGGAGAAGAGTTTGAAGGCATGTCTCTAGTGGCTGGACCCCGGGAAGTCTGCCCTATGAGTATGTCTTTGGAACTGAGGAGAACCCTCAGAGAGCCCTGCTGATTGGGTTGCCAGTCCTGAGCCCAAGCTCTCAACCTCCCTGACAATGCCTGAGCCCTTCCAGAGGGCAGGCAGCTGCTGAGCTGACCTGGCCTTCCGCAGGGGGTGCCAGTGTGACCTGCCTTGGGGCTCCTCTGAGATTTTATCTTAGCTTCTTAAACTGCGCTTTAAAGAAAAATGCACATATGTTAACTGTGCATCACTCTACGGCTGCACACAATTGTTAATGACTACTGAGATGAAGATTTCAAACACCTCCACATCCCAGAGGCCTCCCTGTCCCTGCTTCCCATCAATCTCCCCACAGAGGCCCTGCTGCTCTGCTTTCTGTTGCCCTGGAGTAGTCTTGCCTGTTTTTGAACTTCCTAAAAGTGAAAATCATGTGTACCCTTTTGTGTCTGGCTTCTTTCAGAAGATTTGTCTGTGAGATTCAGCCATGCTTTTAAATGCAGTCGTCTTTTGTTCATTTTCTCTGCTGGATAGTATTCTATCATATGGACATACCATCCTCCATTTATCATCCCACTGCTGAGGGACACCTGCATTGTTTCCAATTTGGGGCCAACATAACAAAGTTTCTGTAAGCATTTATGCATATGTATTTGAGCATCCTTAGAAATCTGCCTGGGAAAACATAGTTCCACTGGCTACAAATGTCCGGGAGGCCAGATTTTTCACTGCTAGACTGCACTGTAAGTGTTACTCATGCATCGGGTTCTTTGATCTTAAGCAGGAGGATAAGGAGGAACATCCCCCTGGAAACTGAAGCAAATGCACAAATGGGAGCTTACAAGGTGTTTGGGGAATTTTGTGTCTTTCAGTGTACTAGGGAGGAATGTGGATGTGTGTGTGAGCTTTCTGTGTGAGAGTGTGTGTCAGAGTGTGTAGGGCACTCTGTGTGTGCGTGTGTGTGTGTGTGTGTATGTGTGTGGGCCTACTGTTATTATATGAGATGGCCTCAGAATCTTCTGAGCAATTTATTCAAAATTAACATGAGAGAACCATTAGTCCAGAGGACTTAGGGAAAGGAGAGGAAATGACCAGAGATGAGGCTAGAAAAACTGATGAGGGTCAAACTGCAAAGACTCGTGAATGCCTTACAATAGCATTTGGACTTTATCCTGTAGGTAAAAGGAATCAGCAGATGTGTTTAACAAACACATAGTGGCACCTACACACTGCTCAGTAGGTGTGACAAAGCTGGCTGTGTCACCTACCAGCACGTGGAGCCCCACACCAGGCTGAGTGAACTACAGCTTGTTAGTGGGGGGTATTTGGGGACAGGGCAGTGAAGGGCTAAGTCTAGAGCAAACTGCCTGTGCTCATGTTCCACTTATAAGCTAGGGGAACTTTTTGTGCCTCTATTGGCTCATCTGTAAAGTGGTGACACTCCTGGCTTTCATATGCCTGGGTTGTTGAGAAAATTAAATGAGAAAGTACTTAGAAGTGTTTGGCATGCAGCAAGCATGCAGTAAGCATTAGCTGAAACAACTGTATGGATAACTTCAGTGATTAATAGATGAAGGGTGTGTTGGCTCATGGGAGTACACATATGACTTGTACTGACAAACAGCACACTCGCACATGATGGGCAAATACTCCTGCACACACACAAATAGCCCACAGTGAACAGGGGTTTCCAGGGCAAACATTCTAAGATGCTCCTGACTCAGCCACTGCCCATAACTTACTCACTGGAAACTGAGTGCTCCTTAGTTACAAAAAGGAGACGGGAAATTAATAGGCCCCAAATCATCTCTGCTTTAAGGTCTTGCAGTTGGACGAGCCACCCAGGGAAGTGAGTCTTTTGAGAACTGCAAACGGGCCTGCCAGAGCCAGCATTCTTCAGCTGTGTTTGCAGGGACACGGGGACTGCTGCCTTCTCCTCTGGGACTGGGGAGACCAGAGCAGCAGTAACTAGGAGAGTCTGGAGAAAGTGGGTGCCAGCACAGGGTTTCCATGAGAAATGGTGCAAGCCTGTACCCTAGTCCTCCTTCCCTGCCCACACAGTAAGACAGTCTGCAGCCAGGCCCGGGACACACAACCTGAGAGGCCGAGGCAATTCTCATAGCAATGGCACAGCAGTCTGAACAAAAACCCAACACAGTCTCCACCTTCCTCTCTTGGGAGAAGGGTCCTAGGCCAGGACTCCACTCCCACTCCCCACGGCCTGGGGAAACAGACAGCAGGGTGGAAGAGGAAGCGCGTCTGAGAGCATGACCTTACCTCCACGTACAGCAGGGGGAAGATTCCAATCTTGTCTCCCAGCATGCCTTCCGCCCAGTTGTCATCCACTCTTCTGATGACGGTCAGGATCTCGTCCTGGGGTTGCCACACATGCACGTGGACATGCAACAAAACACACACAACAAAAACGGGAGACCAGTTAGTACTGCTGAAGCTCAGAAAAGATCCTAAGCAAGGATGCAGAGAATGGTTTATTATCCATTCTGGGATCTGACATACAAAAATAGTCTGCCCTTACATCTTCACCCAGGATCTCCCTTTTTCGCTCATATGTATTGATTATAGTTGCGAAAATCTGCAAATGGAAAAGCATGGAAATTTATAATACAGCTAGTATTTTATTTTATTTTATTTTATTATTATTTTTTAATGTTTTATTTATTTCTAGGAGAGAGAGAGAGAGCGTGAGCAGGGGAGGGTCAGAGAGAGAGGGAGTCACAGACTGAAACAGGCTCCAGGCTCTGAGCTGGCAGTCAGCACAGAGCCCGACGCGGGGCTCGAACCCACGAACCGCGAGATCATGACCTAAGCGAAAGTCGGACGCTTAACCGACTAAGCCACCCAGGCGCCCCATTATACAGCTAGTATTTTAAAATTCATGTTCCTATTATTTATTTACTGAAATAAAATTATTTTGAATAAAAATAAATTCAGCGAAGTATAAAGCTTTTTAAATTTCTGGCTCCATCCATGAACAAAAAAATGACCCAATCCAATTCCATTTATTTAGAGTCATGTACAAAAAGCTTTGGATAACCCTCTTAAATTCTTTGGCAATGCAGACAATGCCAAGTATAGATGCACAAAGTGGAAACAGATGGAAAGAGAAAGGAAGGGGCATGAAGCACGGAGGAAGAGGAGCTTCCTGGGGAGACTGGCAGACCAGTCGTTGTGAAGAAGGACATGGCCAGGGTGCCTTCACAGGTGCCAGAGGCTGCAGGGACAGATGACAAGGGGTGCAGAGAAGAGGGTGAGAAAGAGAAAGCACAGAGCAGTGATGAAGAGCAAAAGGGGGAAGCCATCAGGAAAGAGGACTGGGAAAGAGATACAACATGGGCAGCAGCAAGTGACAATAAGGATGGAAAGGGATGCTACAGGCAAAACTAGCACCTACACCAGGGATCTGCGGCTGTCCTCTGTTCCCTTTCCAATATCCATCCTTCCTTCAGGACATAGAATGTATAAGAGAACCCCACACACACCGTTGGCCTAACCACCCTCTCCCTCTGCCCCTTCATATCAAACCTCCCAGTCATTTGTCCCTCAACAATCTGCTAGGAGACCAGCTGGCCTATCTGGGACTTGTGCTAAGGAGCTGATAGCCAGCCTAATGGGGTAATCCCTAATAGATGTGAAGGCACCATCTGCCTTTCCAGTGAGTCTTCAATACTTTAATGTAAAGCAACAATATGAGACTTGTAGGCTTCTCTCAGGTCAGAGGGACATTTTAGGCCAATACACTTCAGGGAATTCTCACAAATGTTGGCTTTGCTGTTAAGCTAAGGGACCACAGGGTTTTGGGATATTCATCTAGGTCAAGATAGGGTGATCTAATGTGAATGGAATGCACCTTTCATGGAACACAGATACGGCAAAAGCAAGGATGAGTTTCTGTCATGGGATGCTCCCTCACAGTCCATTCCAAACTTCTCCTCACCTAGGTGTACAGAGTAGAGTCTAAAAGTGATCATACCTCTCATTTTCTCTGTCCTCATCCCCAAATTTCTTCTCCTAACTGATACAAGCCAGAAAAATGCAGTAAGGGAATTATATCATTGCACGTGTTCTAGGGTATTTGGTTCTCAGGCTACAGAATGGTATTAATAAGGATAGTATGTATGGGCTTTTCTGGTAACTATTAGGGCCAAAGTGGACACCTGGCTTGAGGAAAGATGTACTGAACTCCCATGCCTCACTCAGCTCACAAGTTCACAACTAAGAGAGCCATGGGCCTGTGAGGAACTCAACTTAGATTCACCCAAAGGGGATCCTAGGATTTTGCTGATCATGCAAAGGGAAAGGTAATTGAAGGCTTCCTACATGTCAGAGCTTTCACAACAACAAAATAACACACACAAAAAAAGACATTTCATTTTGTAAAATTAAAAAGAAGGCAATACCAGGTTAATTTTGCTTTTTTTTTTTTTTTTTTTTTTTTAACCCATACTATTACTCAGGACTGGTCTAGAAATTAGAGCCAAAGAAATAAAAGAATATAAAACAGAAAACATGAATACTAGAGAGCAGGTATGCCATTTTTTTCCTAGAAAAAAACAATATCAATTAAAAATTAGAATAAGTAAATTTCAGAAATAATGCTAATTTTAAAATAAATACCTAAAAATCATTGGTTTACTCATCTACTGGCAATAATAAGTTAGAAAATATGATTAAAATTGGCTATTTTTAAAAAGTTTTCTGATATACTACATATGCCAAAATTAATTACATAAATATTAAACATTTAGGTGTTAGAAAAAAATCTTGAATGCCCAAGAGGAAAATATGAATAGATGTTTCATCTTGAGCTGGGGAAATTCTTTTAAAGTATGATAAAAATTTGGCTACACAAAAATGAAATCCTCTACAATAAAAACAGTAAAAACAAAAAGGAAAATAAGCTAGAAAAATACTTGAAGGATATATAACAAAGACTTAATGTTCATATTATATAAAGACTTAAAGACATAATAGAACAGAAAGACAAATAACTTAAAAGAAAAATAGGCTGAGGGCAATACATCTCACAAAAAAAGAAGAAAAGCAAATTGCCATTAAATATATTTTAAAAAGTTATACCTCACAAATAAAAAAATACAACTGTAAACAACAAGAGCTCTCTCTTTCTTCTTTGTTCTATTTTGCCTATCAAATTAGCAAACGAAGAATATAAAGCCAACTCAGTGCTGGTCAGCATGCAGGGAATAGGCTCATAATCATTTTGGGTGGAGATATAAATTTATGGCAGGCAGTGTGGCAATTTCTATCAAAGATCAAAGCCTGCGTACCCACTGATCTAACTCTACCCTAGGAAAATCAAAGATGTGCAAAAAGATTTAGCTCTGAGAATGTTCATTACAGTGCTTGTTCAATTAGATAGAAACTAAAGATAAATGTACAGTAAAAGAGATTTGATTAAATAAATTATGGTATTGTGCTCCAATACTATTCCCAACTCCAGCACTCTCTAGCCATCCTGTCCTACCTAAAGAGGAAAGAGAAAAAGGGAGACACACATACGGAGTTCACAATCTTAAAGTACAGACTCCTTAAAAGAGTAAAACCCAATAATAGGATCATAGGACTATACACTGCTTCCTCTCTCCCCAAATCACACTACCACATAACTAGAGGCCAATTTATAGCAATTCCTTTTATCTGGCACATCACGTCTGGCTATCAAAAAAAAATTACAAAAATGCCAAAAACCCAAAAATACAGTTCAAAGAGAGAGAGTAAGCATCAGAACCAGACTCAGGCATAGCAGGGATGCGGGATACAGAAAGTTCAGAGGACACTAAGATAAATGCCATAAAAAACCAAAAACCAAAAACCAAAAAACCCAAAAAACAAAACAAACAATAAAACCCCTACCTCCTCATACCAAACTACTGAAAATCAAAGAAAAGAGAAAACAGTGAAAGAAACCAGAGGGAGAAAATATCATACTTACAGAGGAGCAAACAAAAGAATCATACTCAACTTCTCAAAAACCACGCCAAGCAAGAAGAGAGTGGAATGAAATATACAAAGTATTGAGAAAACAAAACCCACCAGCGTAGAACTATGTATACTGAAAAATTATCCTCCAATAGTGAGGGAGAAATACTTTCTCAGAGAAACAAAAACTGAGGAAATTTATTGCCAGTAGACCTTGCCTTGTGAGAAGTTCTTTAGAGAAAAGTACGTAGGTCAAAAACTCGAATCTATTTCAAGAACATTGGAGAAGAAATAACTGAAGGTAAAATAAAACTTTTATTTTTCTTATCCCTAATTGATCTAGCTGAATAGTTTGTTCAAAATCAAAATAGCAACATTGTATTTGATTACATATGCTTATATACATACATATATATATATACATATATATATATCATGTATATACTTATGTATAAATGAAATGAATGACAGAATGATATAAGGGACATGAGAGAAGAGGATTATTTTATTACAGAGTATCCATACTACCTGTGAAATAGTATGGTATTTTTTAAAGTTTTTTTATATTCTTAAAATATTTTTAATTTTTATTTATTTGAGAAAGAGAGAGAGAGAGAGAGAGAATGAGCACATGGGGAAGGGGCAAAGAGACAGAGGGAATCCAAAACAGACTCCAGGCTCTGAGCTGTCAGCAGGGCTTAACTCATGAATCATGAGATTATGACCTGAACTGAAGTTGGACCAATTGAGCCACCCAGGTGCCCCTGAAAGTGAATCTGATTAATTGCAAATGTATATTGCAAACTCTAGGGCAACTACTAACAGTTTTTTAAAGGTACAATTGACATGCTAAAAAAGGAGAGAAAATAGAATCACATAAATTTCTCAATTAAAACCACAGAAAGGAAAAAAAAGAGAAAACAGAAATAGGAACAAAAATCACATTTAAAAAATGGGGAGGGGGAGGGGGTGGGCACCAGGGTTGCTCAGTTAGTTAAGCATCTGACTTCAGCTCAGGTCACGATCTCATGGTTTGTGGGTTTGAGCCCCGCATCGGGCTCTGTGCTGACAGAGCCTGGAGCCTACTTAGGATTCTATGTCTCCTCTCTCTGCCTCTCCCCCACTCATGCTCTGTGTCTCTCTGTCTCTCTCTCTCAAAAATAAAAATAAACATTAAAAATATAGGAACAAAAATCAAACACCACAAATAGAAAACAGAAATGAATATGGTAAATATTAACTGAAAAATATCAAATAATCACTCTGAAAGTCAATGGTCTAAATTCACAAACTGGAAGACAAAGAATGTCACAGGGCACCAAAAAACAAGACCCAACTATATGTTGTCTACAATAAGCCCAGTATAAATATAAAGATACATGTGAACTAAAGGTAAATGTATGGAGAAAGGTATG